CGTGCTGAACTGCATATTTTCTCAGCCAGAATCACTTTCCAATGGAAATACATTTCCTTTGGGAATCCTTTATTTTTTCTGAATTCAGATTTTTTTACTGTCATTCCCACATTGACCTTTTCAATGAAAAATATCAGGGTGGCAGCAGTAGGGAAGGGAGCTGAGATGGAGAGGTTTGTGTCCCGCTTTGGGTCGCTTTGAGGGATGCTGCAGTGGTGTTCTATTAGTTGCTGTGGTATTGGGGTGGGGGTCAAACAATGAGGGCCAGCACATCCCAGGTACCCCTGGGACATGCAGGATGCTCTGAGGTGGGAGGACTGCTCCTGCGAGGAGCCTCAACGAGCTTTGTCTCTGTGCCAGATCGACCTCCAGGACCAGAAGAAAGTGACGGGCATCATCACGCAAGGAGCCCGTGACTTTGGGCACATCCAGTATGTGGCAGCCTACAAGGTGGCTTACAGTGACAATGGCACATCCTGGACCCTGTACAAGGATGGACAGACAAACAGCACCAAGGTGTGTGGGGCAGGGCAAGGTGGGCAGCAATCTGGGCTTCAGGGATGCTGCTATGGGATGGGATGGGATGGGATAGTGGCAGGAGGTCCTGGAGGTGCTGACACCCACCTTTCCCCCCATAGATCTTCCATGGTAACAGTGACAACTACTCACACAAGAAGAACGTGTTTGATGTGCCCTTCTACGCCCGCTTCATCCGCATCCTGCCCGTGGCCTGGCACAACCGCATCACCCTGCGCGTGGAGCTGCTGGGCTGTGATGAGTAGGCACGTGGGGAGGAAGGACGGGGCTGCACCTGCCCACCACCCAAGCCTGCACCCTGCCCACCTCTGCCCGCTCCTGCTCTGACCTCACACCCCTCTCTTCATGTCCCCAAACTCGGCAGGCGGCCAGGAGGGCTCCCCTGCCCTCGTTGGCGCTGGGGCCACAGCATTGCACTTTACAGGGCTCTTAAGGTGGGATGTGGGGACAGCTCCTGCTCTTTCACCCCACTAGCCGGGGGGGAGGGGTCCCCCTTGTGTGACCGGGACTTGACTGAGGGACCTTCTCCAACTGGGGCTTTGTTGGAGGACCCCCGTCACACAACCAGGGCTTGACTGTATCCTCCCAGCTAAGCCTGGAGACACATTTTCTCCTCCTTTTTGCTTCTGCTTCCAGCAGAGAGGCTGCAGCCAGCTGCAGTCTCCTGCCTGCAGTGGGGCTTGGGGCTCAGCAGCTTTGGGGGGCTTAGGGTAAGCATCCTGGGCTTGCAGCCTCCAGCATCCCTCCTGCTTCCTGCATGGCTGCAAACAGGGGCTCTGAAAAACCCACTTGGCTGTGGTCCCCTGCCCATTGTGCCATGCCCTGGGTCTCCTTGCCTGTGGTGTCAGCGCTGCATAGTGTGAGGGGAGTGATGAGACGGCTCCTGTCAAGAGGCACCAGGTCCCTATTGCCCGTGGCTCTGCCCGCTGGGTGTGTTTTGGCAGTCGTTGCCCATTCCCCTTCCTGGGACCATGCGGCTCCAGCATCTGCCAAGTCTCAGCATTGCCCCTGTCTCCAGTTAGGGATGCCTGAGGTCCCTTGTCCCCAGAGCTGAGCGGTGATTGGGGGGGGGCCGCAATCTGGTGGTGGGGCAGAGGTGGTTTGTAGCCACAAAGGTGTGGAGGAACGATGGGCAGGGTGGGGTGGTGGTTAAACCACCACAGAGCGCTGTGCCATGACCCTTTTTGTACCCTGACTTCTTTCCCTTTCCGTGGGGTGGAGGGGAGCCTCTTGCAATGCTCGAGCCCTCGGGATTAGCAGTAGGAGATGAGTGAGGCCCAGCACTGGCATCAGGGTGTCCTTCCCTGGTGATGCTTCCCCTTCCTGCTGGGATGTGAAGTGGCCACGGAGCTGGGCCGGCAGCGGGATGGCTTTGCCAAGCGCCCAGGGAGCCTGGGTGGGATGACAGCAGTGGCCCTGCTCCAGGGTGTCTCTGACAGTATTAAAACCAGCTGAAACTGTTGGCTTGGCTGCTCTGTGCTCCCAAGAGCCACCTCCCGAAGCACAGTCCTTTGGGATCCCCCCTGAGCCTCCTCCATCCCAAGGGGCTGCCTCCTGCCATGCTGAACCCATGTCTCTGCTTTCGCAGCCCCTCCTAGCACCCTTCCCTGCACAAGAACCAGAGTACCAGTGCATCTTCCCTGCTGCCTCCACCCCATCGCAGCTGCCAGAGCCTGTGCTTGCAGCTGGACAAGCACAATGGGATGGGACATGGGGAGGGGAGGCTGCTATCAGCACCCCACGCCCTGTGTCTCCTCCTTTGGCTTTGATCCTGGAGCAAATCCATCAGCTGGGAGCAAAACCAGCTCTTACACCCCAGGGCTGCCCAGGGGATGCTCCCAGCATTGAGGACAGGGTCCCTGGTAGGAAAGGAGCACTGGGGTGGACAGGACAGAGGAGCTCTGCTCCCCTCCAGAGCCTTCTGCCCTGAAGTTATCATGAATGGCCCAGGACAACCTGCATCCCACCACATCTCTCCATCCCTGCAGCCCTGGACCACCTCTATTCACCTCTGTGCTGCCAGCAGCGCTCTGCTCAGGCCATGCATCCCCTTCGCAGGCCCCTGCCTGGCCCCTGGGCACCAGAGGGGCTGCTGGCAGGGACCAGGCTGAATCCACTGTGGCTGCTTGGTGACAAACAGCAGCCACAGCTCGAGCCAGTGACAGGCCGCCCGGTTCACCTCCAGACGTGCCACCCTTATCACGGGGAAGCTGGGGCAGAGATAACAGCAGCTTGTTCTGAGTCCAGCCAGGATAGCCCTGAGCTGGGGCACGGCACAGGCTCCATGGGGAGGGTGACGGGACCAGATGCCCTGTGTCAGAGCAGGGGATTCTGTTGTGGCCCGTTGCCACCCCCCAGGCAAACCCCTCTGACGGATGCTGAGCCCCTTCCCAGCTCTGTGGCATTTCCTTCCTCCTCCAGAGCTCTAGGATGGGGAGTTTGATGAGGATGAGAGTGCCCTTCACACCGTGCAGAGCGCCTCACGACTCATCCCCATGCCTCGGATGCTCTTCCTGGACACGGCTGGGTTGCTGGAGCAGCAGGAAGGCTGCGGCACCCCGCTGCTGCTGACTCGGCTGCCCGCGAGCCAGTTCCTCAGGAAGCAGCCGTCGGAGAGAGCATCCTCTCGCCTCCACCCGGAAAGCCCGGCACAGATCACAGCCGCCTCCATCCCACCAGGAACATGGGGTTTCCTCCCTGATTTGAGCCTTGGGCAGCAGGTTCCTGCTGGAATTGTCCCATGCAAGTGCCATTACACGGAGAAACCCCTTCCGTGTGGCTATGGAGGAGCTGTGAGCTGCTGAGGTTGAGGCGGGGAAGACACGGGTGACACTTTGTGGCTCCCATTCAGCCAAAAGCTCGGCCAGCCCTAAACACGTGCCATAAACACGTGCTCTCAGGTCAGAGATACCCTGGCCCTGTGCAGCTTCACTCACCCTGAAACCCACGGTCCCACCCTTGGGGAGCAGAACACAAATCCAGGATCATCCCTGAAGCTCCAACAATACGGAGAGAGGTGGGAGGGAGTAAAGGGGATTCCTCCTTCCTCAGAGGGCTGCCCAGGGGCCCCTCAGTGACCACATCCAGACACGAGTATGGCCAAACATGAGCTGCTGTTGAAATAAGAAGCACAAAAGCATCCCTATCTCCTTCCTGCTGCTGCAAGCTCAGGTGGGGCAGAGGATGGCTCCTGGCTGGCGCCGCGGCGCAGGCAGCACGGGGCAGCGTGTGGCTTGTTCCTGGCCTCTGAAACAATGGGAGAGCCACACCAAGGAGCAGCGTGCCCCGATGGAGCTGTCTGTCTGTCTGCACAGCCCGGCATGAGGAGGAAACCATCCCCATCGCTGCCTCGCTGTGTCATGGATGTCTTGGGCAAGCAACTGATGGCTGGGATGCGACTGGGATGCAGCCAGGATGAGATCCCACCCCTCTGCTATCAGGGCAGAGCTGGGGGGACAGGGGACACTCAGTTGGGATGACTGCAGCATTCCCAGCCACCACACTCCCACATCCGTAGTGTCAGGGAGGGTTCCAATGGGTGTGTGTGCCGGGAGAAGGAGAGCAATGAGAGCCATTCCTCCAGACCCCGGGTCCCACCGCCATCCCCGGTTAGGGCTTCCCCTGGGAGGCAGGGGCCGGCGCTGGAGGCAGATAACACCGTTTCTGTGCTGGCTGCTCTCTATCAGCGCGGCGGCGGCAGGCAGACAGGACTGCACCCGTGGCGGGGGGCAGTGAGGAAGGGGGGTCCCAGCCCCTTCACCCCGCAGCCAGCCCGGGGTGGTTTATTTTTACACCAGTTGTTTGCTTTCCGGCCTGAGGCGGTGGCAAGAGCCGGGCCGGGCCCCCCGCGCCTCATTTCCTTGCCATAAAACAACAAAGTGGGGGGCGAAGAGGCGCGCCGGGCCGGGGCAGGGGGGCGCCGGGTCAGGGCACACGCTGCTCCGTGGCTCCTCTGTGTCCTCGGCCCCACTGGCCACCCCTGGACCAGCATCCCTGTGTCCGTGCCATCACTGTGCTGCTCGTCCTCAGGGCTGGATGTGGGGCTCTCAGGGCTGCATGTCTGTGTGCTGATGGGAGCTGGGTGGGGGGCATCACCCAAGGGCAGCGATGATGCCTGCTCAGATGGGTGCAATCACGCACCACAAAGCTTTTCCCCTGTTTTTTGTGCCTCTGCTTTGCCCCCATAGACACAAGTGCATCCCAAAGAGGCTGGACCCCATGACTCAGCTGTCTCCCCTGACCCTAGATCAGGCAGACACTGCACATCCCCAGGCACAGTCATCCATCCCGAGCCACTTGTGCCCACGGTGCTCTTGCCACCTGTGTGCTCCACACCTGCATTGGCTGGGGACTGTGGTCAGTCCCCTGATGGGACACAGGACAAGACATGTCTCTTCTTCCCCAGCACCAGGTCTTTGCACCGGACATTATGGGGTGCCACATGCCCACTAGCCCAAATGGGGCGCCACATGCCCACTAGCCCCAATGGGGCATCCTTGCTCCTCTCCCCAAGCAGGCAATGCGGGCAGCAGGTACATCACGGAAGAGGTGTGCGGGCAGGGTACAGTCAGCATCATGCAGGCGCATGGCGGGGGGCCGGGGGTACCCATCCCAGCTCCGGGCTGCGATCAGGGGGTTGGGAAAGGCGTGTGTTTCCCTTTAAGAGGCAGGCCCTGGAGCTGCTTCCTCTCAGCCCTGCGAGAGCCCTAAACAGTGCATCTGCCTGCAGCCTGCCTGCACGCCTGCCCGAAGCCTGCCCGCAACCAGCAGTAAGTAGGGTTTAGCCCCGGGGTGGTGGGAAGGGCTGGCACCCCGTCGTGGTGGGCACCCTGCTTGGCAGGGAAGGGGTAGCATCGCTATGGAGGGTGCTGCGCATCACCACGGAAGGTGCCAGGCATCCTGTGGTGGGTGCTGTAGCACGATGCTCAGTGCCATTGCAGCTGAGGACACCGCCTTCCCGGTGTGTCACCTCAGCACTGGGCTCTGAGGGTGTGTGTGTGTGTGTGTGTGTGTCTGGGTATGGGGGGCGCAGGGGGACCGGTGCTGGTGCCCCCAGACAGAGGTGTGAAGCTGTGGGTGCTTCGAGCCCACCATGCCTCATGTGGGCAGCACGTGGTTCATGCCTGCTGGGCTGCAGTGCCGTGCAGTGCCGTGCAGTGCCATGCAGTGCTGCCGCTGAGCTCCGCTGGATGCGGTGTCTGTGGTGTGGGTGCACCCTGTGCCCTGCAGCACTGGCTCTGCACACCCCATCGGGTGGCTGCACCCCACAGGCGGGTGAGCAGTAGCACCAGCCATGGAGGGTAGACCAGGAGCGAGCAACCCATGATGGCAACCGCAGCCGGTTCATGCCCTGGTCCCCAGAGACCACCTCTGTACCCCATATCGGACCCCATATCGGGGGGAGCATCCTCACTCCTACAGCGTCCTGGCCCGGGGCACCTTTGCAGGCACCCATAGACCTTGCCTAAGCAGGGGCAGCTGTGCCAGACCCCTCCCCACTTTGGAAGGGGGGCTGCCGGAGCCTTGCCGGGTGCCGGGCCCCCTCTGCCGGCTCCGGGAGAGCTCGCAAGCCGGCAAATACCGCTGTGATCTGCCCTGGGTGAGCCCCATGCGGGGCACCCAGAACTCGGGCAGCACGGGTCTCCGGTGCTATGGGGCAGCCGGGCTTCCCTGCACTCAGGGGATGTGGTCTGGGAGGGAAACGTGTTGCACAGGGATGGTGCCAGCCGTGTCTGTGGTGTGAAATAGCAGCCCAGGGTCAGAGCAGGGGGTCCTCAGCCATGCTGGGTGGGTGCCCCCCGGCTCTGTCCAGCGCTGGGGCAGCCCCGAGCTCTCTCCTCCCCTCCTCGCTGGGTTGCACGCTCGGCTGCCTCTGTAAACTGAGCTTACCGCGGGGCTTGGCCATTTCTCTCCCCCCACATCCCATACGTGATGTTTTCCCGGTACTCCCAGTTCAAAGGACATCCCGGGATCTCGTTTCTCCTGGATGCACTGATCCCTGCTTGGTCTCGGTTTTCCCCTCTGGGTCAGGTGCTCCTCAAGCCCCAGCGGGCGGCAGTGTTGAGTGCAGTGGTGCATGGTGAGATCCATGCAGGAGGATGGGGATGGAGGGGACTGGGAGTTGTGGGGCAGGTCTGGGGGCATGGCTCAGGTTGCCTGTACCCTCCCCTGAAGCTGTTCTGCTGGTTCTTCCCACCCCTCTCCTTGCATCCCTGCGATGGGTGCAGCCCAGAGCTATGTGCCAGGCAGCTCGGAGCACTCCTGGTTATTGTGGGGTGTTATCACAGCCCTTTCCCCCTCCACAGCCCAGGCTCAGGGTCTGGCCTCGCTCCTCAGCCATGCTGCTGCTCCCACTGCTCCTGAAGGCTGCCCTGCTGTGCCTGGCCAGCGGCTCCCACCACCCCTTCTACAACGGCTTCTACTACAACCACATCATGAACGACAAGGGCAACGGGCAGGAGAAAGGTACATCAGGGATGGGCAGGAAAGGGGGCCTGGCGGGTTGGTGCAAGGGGCTGAAGTGTCCCCCTTTCTCTGCATGGGGCTGGGACCCATCTCACTGGGGGGATGTGGGGCCCAGAGGAGCAGGCAGGGATGCTCCAGAGGTGCTCAGGGAATGCTCATGGGATGCTTAGGTTGAAGAAGTGGCTGGAAGGAGATTTGGGGATGCTCATGACCTGCCCATCATGCCTTCCCTCTCTATCCCCAGTGGTTTACTTCAATGGAGCCAAACTCTTGGTGGAGACTCCCAAGGACCCCGTCTACAGCTTCAATGGTGGCAATGTCACCCTGCCCTGCCACTACCGCTATGAGCCCGACCTGGAGTCCAAGCGCAAGATCCGCATCAAGTGGTCCAAGCTACGGGACGACTACACCAAGGAGCAGGACGTGCTGGTGGCCATCGGCAAGACCTACATGGCCTTTGGGGACTTCCGTGGCCGCGCTCACCTCCGTCAGGGTGGCCGGCGCGAGGCCTCGCTGGTGGTCAGCGATGTGCGTCTGCAGGATGATGGCAAATACCGCTGCGAGGTCATCGATGGGCTGGAGGATGAAAGCGAAGTGGTGGACCTCCGGCTGCAAGGTGCGGGCACAATGGGGACTGCAGGACCCCCTGTGCCAAGCCAGGGAGCCTGGCCTGCCCATGGCACCCCTCTTTGGTGGGTGGTGGACTGGGAGGCTTGGTGTGATGGGGTGGTGGCTTGGGGCTGTCTGACAGTGAGTGGAGCCCAGAGCAGGATGCTGGGGATGCTACTGAGGAGTTGGAGTTGGGGGTGCCCCCATGGCTGCAGTGTTTCCTGCCTTTACCACCCGTCTTCCTGCTGTGCTGCATCATGTGCAGCTGCCCCTCACCTCCCAGCTCTGGATGTCCCCTGCATTGGGATGCACCTTGGTGACTGGGCCAAACCCTTTTTCTTCACTTGGAATGAGGGACCTGACTCAGCCCTGGCTCCACTGCCAAGCTGAGAGCTGTGGAAATGTCCCTATTGCTGTCCCCCTGCCCATCCCCTTGTCCCCACCAGTCCCCATGGCTGTGGTCCGTGGTGGTGCACATGTTCCTATTGTACATCCATCCCATGCTGGTGGGCCATGTGTCCCTGGGATTGTGGCCCATGCATCCCCATGATGCTGGCCCTTGTGTCCATGTTCCTGTAAGCCTGCACATCCCTGTGATGATGATCTCCCCATCCCCACAGGGGTGGTCCATGCTCCCCTGGGACCCCGGCCTATGTGTCCCCAGGACTGTGGTCCCTATGACCCTGTGGTGGTGGTCCCTGCATCCCTGCTATCGTAGGCTATGCATCCCTGTATGTGCAGGTGCCATCCCCGTGAAGGTGGTCCATGTGTCCCCAGGTCCCTGTGTCCCTGTGCCACCAGATGTCGCTGGCAACTCGCCGCAAGTGCCTGCATCCCTGCAGCATCCCCATCCCTGCATGCCTGAGCCTTGGAGTGGTCCCTGTCCCAGAGCCTGAATTTGGGATGGGCTGGGGACGCACGGGGGCTACCCATGGAAGCCGGCTGAGTGCCCTGTCCCTCCCCAGGCATCGTGTTCCCCTACCAGCCTCCCCATGGGCAGTACAGGCTCAACTTCCACGAAGCTGAGCGAGTCTGCCAGGAGCAAGGCGCCATCCTCGCCACCTTCAACCAGCTCTTCCAGGCCTGGAGCGAGGGGCTGGATTGGTGCAATGCAGGCTGGCTGGCCGATGGCACCGTGCAGTACCCCATCCGCCTGCCCCGCAAGCCCTGCGGCGGGCTGCAGCTCGCCCCAGGCATCCGCAGCTATGGCCCACGCCACCGGTACCTGCACCGCTTTGATGCCTTCTGCTTCTCCTCCACACTCAGAGGTAGGTGCTGGGCCAGGGATCTTGTACCCTTAGGGCTCAGCCTGGGGGGGGGATGCTCTGTGCGGGGATGCTCCGGATGATGCTCAGCACTGATGCTCCCTTCTCTCTCCTAGGAGAAGTTTTCTACCTGGACCACACGGCTGGGATGACGCTGGAGGAAGCCAAGCAGAGCTGCCAGGATGCAGGGGCTGAGATTGCCCGGGTGGGACAGCTCTACTCTGCCTGGAAGTTCCTGGGGCTGGACCGCTGCGATGCCGGCTGGCTTGCAGATGGCAGCGTCCGCTACCCCATTGCCAAGCCCCGCGCCAACTGCGGCCCTCCGGAGCCTGGTGTCCGCAGCTTCGGCTTCCCCAGCAAGGGCAGGTTTGGGGTCTTCTGCTACAAAGAGAGATAAGGAGCAGGGAGGGCTCCTTCTTGTCCGGAGGATGTTTCCAGCCTGATGGTGCCCAGTGTTGGGCATTGCCCAAGGCTGTTTTTGGGGTGACTGAGGGGGAGTGGGGTGGGGGTGGGATGGGAGGCTTCTTTTTGGTTTATTTTTACTTCCTTTATATCTTCCACGTCCTGCTCAGCAGTTGGGGCAGCGCAGGGCTGTCCCTGATGGTCCCCATGGGCCCCTGCCACCCTACGGGTGGTGGCCCCTTCCTGCGTGGTAGGATGTCACCAGCGCCTGCCTGCCCTTCCAGGCTCATCCTGCCCTTCCAGGCTGGTCCTGCCCCTGACCTCATGGCGTGGGAGGGAGGAGAGGCTGGAACGGACTAGAGGCAGAGAGTGGGTGTCTCTGTTGCATCCCAAACCCGGCCCTGTCCTACTGAAGGATGCCATTGTGCCTGTTCCTGCGGGAGTGCCAGTGCCTTATCTCCACGCACCCCTCGCCTGGACTCCACTTGAACTCTGGTGCCTTCTTCTTCAAAGCATTTGGTTATGAAAATGTGTATTTTCCTGGACCTCTTCTAATAAACCCATGGAGAAATCCATGGAGCGATGTGGCTGCGTCCCCATCTCTGCCCCAGCAAAAGAGAGGGGTCTGCCACAAAAAGGATGTGGAGATTCCTGGCTGAACATCATCTCATCACCGCTTGCTCAGCCCCGCGCCCACCTGAGCTCTTGCAAGGGCCTTGTGCTCCCTCATTAATGGGTGTTAATTCACCCTATGGGTATCAGGACTGAAAGCTGGAGGGTGAAGCAGTTCCTGCTGGTGATGGGTTTTAGGTCTGTGGGTTAACCGCTCCTAGGATGAGACCTGAATAAGGGGGTGATGTTCTACCCCAGGGTTCTTCTTCAGTTGGGGCTTAGGACTCTTCCTCCTACCTCCATTGTCCCCAGGGCTGAACCCTTGGGTGCTGGCTGGCGCTGAGCTGGTCCCATTTGGAGCACCCAGTCTGGACTCCCATTCCTTCCTCGCTGCTTTGCCATGGGAGACCCCTGCCCCACACATTAAAAAACAACACTGACAGAGCGCCTGCTCCGATTTCACTCTCTTTATTATTTATCATTCTTTCAAAATAGGATATGTTCAAAAATATAAATAGGTGCAGGGAACGCTGGTGCCCCGCACGGTCCCCTGGAAAGAGCACGTTGTCCCAGGACGGGGGGGGTGGCAGGGAAGCAGAGAGGGGCTGCAGCCCCCGGCTCCCGGGTCTCAGCATCCCCTCGCCTCCCCTCCTCCTATAGCTCCTTCCACCACAGCCCCCTGGCCCTCCCCCCCCAGCCCTGATGTGCTGCAGCAGTAGGAGGATTCTGGAAAAGAAACAATAATAATAATAAAATAAAACCCCAAAAAGGTGCTGCTCACCCCGGAGATTAAATAACAGAAATAATTACATTGTTCGGGGATAAAATCAGGACAAAATATTCATCTTTATTATTTAACTTAACCCCCTGCCCTCTGCAAACCCACCCCCCTCCCTGTCCCCGAAGGCACGAAGATAATTGGAACCGGACAGTTAGTAAAAATGCTGAGATCTAATTTGCTTTGCTTTGGTGCTTGGAAAAAACACATTAATTATTGTTTTTTATATATATACACAAAGGTGGGTTTGTCTTTAATATAATTTTTGTTTTTCCTTATATGACAACAACAAAAAAAGCAACAAGAAGAAGAAGAAGAGAAATCGACTCTGTTAATAGAAGTGTTCCGTTAAAAATCTCTGTTTCTCACTTTCGGTGTCTCTCTCTGGCCCCGCTCTAATGGGTGGGTCTGTGCACGGCTCTGCCGCTGGGTCTCGACTGGCTCCTAGGGCTCCTTTTGTATAGCCTGCGCTGGTAGTTGGAGGCTGAGGAAGAGGAAGGAGAAGAAAAGGCACCTTGTAAGCAGGAGGTGGGATAGAGGTGCTGCTCATCCCGCGCTGGCTGCCCTGGGCAAACACAGGCAGCACTGGGTAGCAGCATCCTCTCTGCGGGTGCTTGTCCCATCCCTTAGCTCCGCTAATAGGGTGGGCATGAGGACTGCTTCCCCATCTCACCTGCTGCAATACCGGTACCTCCCCAGTCCTGTAGGACAGGGAAGGAAGTATCCATCAGCAGTGGGATGTACTCAGGGCACAGGAGGGGAAGCAGCCCTGTCTGGCGGGCAGGAGCAAGGTCTCTGCCTAATTTCTGCTGCCAATTTTCCTTAAATCTGGCACTACTCCAGTGTGATAATTTCAGGATTGATGGAAGCAGCAAAAGCTGGTTTGGAACTGCCTGGCTGTCTTGATCGCTGGTGATCCATGCCAGGAGCAGCCTGCAGCTCTCTGGGTCTGCAGCAGAGCCAAGGGAATCAGCTGCTTCATCTGCACTATGGGCTGCCCTGAGACATCTCCATCCCTCCTCCTTCCATCTCCTCCCTAGGGCGGAGGTTTGTCCCTTAAGCCCATACTGACTCTCTCTGGCTATGGGAGCATTGCTTTAGCTGGAATTGCCCAGCCAGACCAGAACCTGGAGAGAAGGCCACTGGACAGATGTGATTTGGCTGAGGCCGATGAGATTACTGGGAAGCTGCAGAGGAAAAAGGATGGGACAGGGGTGTAGGCAGGCCTGGGAATGGGCTGGGACACCAGTGGGAGAGGGCTGGCTGCTGTCAGCTGGAGCCCTGACAGGAGAAGGGTCAAGAACCCAGCCCTGTCCCTCGGCTTAGCTCTGCTGCAGGGCTCCTGTCTACTCCCAGGGCTTGGAGGGACCATAGGAGACTACGGGTCCCTCCTCCTAACTCTCTCTGCTAATGCAGGTAGTGCCAAAACTCACCCTTTCAGAAGCCATTTCTACTACTTTCCTTTCTTTCATCAGCTTGGGCCCTTGGTGAGCTCCTTGTTGCCCTTTCCTGGCTCTGGAGCTGCCTCTGCCCTGTCTAGTGGAGGAGCACCCATGAATTCCCCAGGCTGTCCCTCCTGTGGCCCACACCTGCCCTGAAGATGCCAGGTCCCATTGCCCCATCACAGGGGATCTTTCAACAAGTCATGGGGACCATGATGTCCCCTTCTGCCCAGAGCTCACCCGCACCCTAAGATGATGCCCCCTTCATTCCCAGCTGCAGGGATGGATCAGCCCTAACCTGAAGGTAAAGGAACCTTTACATACGGTTTATGCAGGATATCCGTGGCTCCTCCCACTGCCCGTTGGGCTGGCACCGGATCGTGGGCACGTGGCGCTGGATGTAGCCTTGGTCGCACTGGTATCGCACCATGGAGTTGATTTCATAGCGGTCCTTCTTCCGACCAAAGGTCCTGGCGTTCTCCACCATAGGGGGGTCCCCACAGGCCACTGCAGGAGATGGGCAGAGACATGGAGAGCTGGAAGAGTCCTGCCTCGCTGAGCGGGCAGCTCACACCCCGCACACACAGCCTTGGTGCTCCTCTTCTCCCACACATAAAACCTTAAATCCTCCTGAGATTGCCCTGACCCACAAAATTTAGCGATAGGGGATATGGAAATTCTGTGATGGGGCTTGGGATTAAGCAGCTTTCTGCCTCAGAGTTCTATTCAGGGAAGGCAGGCATCACAACAGCCACTTGCTTCCACGGGAGGGCATGGAGCTGGTGTGCAGGAGTGATGCTGCAGCCAGGGTTTTGGTGTCTGGGGATGTGAAACCTCAACCTTAATGGTTCATCTTACTTGTTTTCAAGCCCTTGGGAAAACCTTCAACTTCTATTAATTCCTTCCACCTTTACAGTGACAAAAGCCATGTTCATGTGCACAGGGAGCTCCAATCCAGCCCTGCAGCCACTGCCAGAGCTCCCTATGTTTGCTGGCACGACATGGGGTGCTGACCTGTTCCTTTCTTGCAGGTGAAAGGGAGGTGATAGTTGCAGGGAACATCGTTCCATTCGCCTTGCTCGTGCCAGATCATCACCACGCAGTCCTCACCCGCCGCAAAGAAGTTATCGGGTTGGTTGGGCCTCCAGTTCTCAAATTGCTGCAGGGAGAGGAAAGGTTGAGCCCTCATCTCCTATTCGCTCCTCCATCCTTGTTGCTGCCTCACCAGTTGCTACTACAGTGGTTGTATCTATTGCGATGGTAACCATGAGCTCTACAAAGTTTAGAGCTGCCTCCACCTTTCAGTGCCCAACCCAAGCACTCAGCACATAACTCATGGGACTTTTTCCACCCAAGGGGAACCTCTTCCCCCCACTGAATGTCCCGTGGGATTCAGGCTTACCAGGGAGTGCCCATCGGACCAGCGGAAATCATTCTCCACAGCTCTGTCACTGAGGCCAATCCACTGGTAGTCCTGTGCATGGCCTAGAAGAGATAAAGGGAGAAAGAAGAGTGGGTCGTGGTTCCCATGTACCTCGTTGGAAGTGTTTCTTTGTTATCTCAGCTCTCTCCGATGTCCCTTTCCCCCCACCCCCAGTATCATGCTTGTCCATCTCCTCTTTCAGTGTCCCATGAGCACAGATCCATCTACACTAGCATTGGTCACTGAGCTTGTTGCATCAAGGGAATGTGTTGTGAACAAGTCACATCAGCAATGTGGTGAAAGTAAAGTTCTGTCCTAGTTAGAAAGGGCTCTTTCCTGTCTCACGGCTCATAGACTCATGGTTTGGGTTGGAAAGGACCTTCAAAGGTCATCTATTCCAACCCCCTGAAATGAGCTGGATGGCTCTTCCTCTTCCACTTAAGGGTGAGGAAATATCTGAGCACCAGTGAGGGAAATTGTGAGGTTTATGTCATTTTGGCTAAATCTGTCCATAGACTCCATAGAGTTCAATGGACGGACCCATGCCCAGTCTCAGGCTGCCCTCAGCACTCACTGTTCACAAACTCTTGCTCCTCTGGGGTGATGATACTGCTCAGGTGGGCTTGATGTTGTCGGCATCTGGCCTCTGCATCCATCCAAGTCTCCCTGTCTTCAAAGTGCCTATAGCAGTGGCCTTGGAACTTGGTCCAGCCTTCCTCACAGTTTTCCTGGTCTGAAACACACAAAGGAGGGATGAAAAGGAGTTGGTGCATGGTCTGGAAGCCTTCCAACTCACCTCTTAGCAGTTCGTGCTCTCATGGCATGGGACAACACACGGTTGCTTCCACTAAAAAACAAACCCTGACACTGTTGCCTGTGGGAAATCCTAGGGAAAATTACCAGAAGGCATCCGAAGCAGACACAGAGAGGGGAGCCTGTGCTGAAGACCCAATGTGTGCAGTAATGTGACCAGTGCTACTAGAAAAATTGAATGATACAAACTTATTCCTGAGCAATTCAATCCCTGTATCATGTTCCTGGACCCTGGTTTTGAGGAACTGACAAAGCAGGAATCTTTCACTTCCACTTGTACAGAGTTTTCTTGCTTTGGAAAGACTCCAAAACCTGAGTCCAGATGCCCAGAATCAATATGTATGTATTGAAAATGAAAGAGGGGAGGAGAGCCCAGGTTTGGGTGGTTGCATTGCTTAGTGTTGTTCTGTGGCTCTGGAGGAGAAGCAAGCCTACCAAGAGAGGAGAAAAAAGGATCCAGGAACTTACCATGATGGAAAGTGAAATCTCAAGGAAAAAGCTTGGAAGCTGCTAAA